AACAATTCACATTACATTATTTCATTTACCACTATCGTAGCAGAGTTTAGGGCAACCAGACTTTATAGATGAGATTGGTACATTACCCAAAAAAATCATTTTAAAAAAAGTAATTAAACAAATCTAAATAATAGTTTTATTCACGAATGTCTTAATGTTATGTAATATTGTGTATGTATTTTAATGAATGTATTTTGTCGAAAATCTAATCCAAATTAGCACACCCCGACTCCACGTAGTCTTGTCAGCCCTACCCACAGAGTGTTTTTGTAAATCCGTAGGCACGGAGGGAGAGCAGCCCAAGCCCACTGTAGCAAATCGCAGGCACTTAAGTAAGCCTTAGCGGCTGAGTAAGCAATAGCCGAACCTGCGGAGGCGAGCATGTGTGCCTGTGATTTGCTAAGCAAGTGCGAAAGGGTTGCACTTCCCGCAGTGCCGAAGCCGTTGCAGAAGTAACTTTGCGTCAATATTTCTATATAAAAAAGTGAGGTTATGATTTTACAAAAAAAAATGTTACTCATAAACTACACATTTGCGAAATGGGGAAGAGTAGGGGGGCTTCTCATTAGCCCGCCACTCCCCTCTCCCCCTCACAACACCGTACGGCTGTTGCAGAAGTAACTTGGTGTCAATATTCCTGTATAAAAAAGTGAGGTTATAATTTTACAAAAAAACGTATACGGCGAAATTCGCCAACCCCCGTGCCACCAGGAGCGGGCCCCCCCCCCAAAAACGGAGGGAGGGACAACCGGACCCAAAAATTATTACTCATAAACTATACATTTTCGCAACGGAGGAAGGGTAGGGGGGCTTCCTATGACCCCGCTCCTCCCCTCTCCCCTTCCCAACACCGTACGCGAATAGCGAGTACCGGACGTTTATCCTATAGTTTACCCGCGCGATTTATCGCAACTGGTTACTGGTTATATTTTTGTTTTCGACGTAACGTACCTATCTGTAACAGGTTGCGAGAAAACGACCATCTCTAGACAGAATGTTCTGTGGACAGAATAATACTCTAATATATATACAGTAATCTATGGGATACTCGACTCTCAACACAGAATCAGAATAAGATTATTTTTACTCACGGAGTACCTTTTAGAAATATAGATTTATTTATCTCATGATTCAAACAGTGTTCCAGTTTCTGGAAACAATGTACTGCCTCTAACATTTTACTTGTGCTCTAAAAAATATAATATGACGAGTTCGTATTGAAATAACTGGAAAAAAAGTTTTGTAAGTAATGATTTGTAATAACTAATTTCTCATAATCAGCAACCTTGGAACACAGCCTTGTTCATTGGACCATTGTAGGTCATCCTCAACGAAATTGTCCAAAAGTATTGCTTAGTATCCAAAGTAAATTTATTATTGACGTGTCGCTACCGTGAATCTCAAAATCAAATGAAAATAACCGCAATAGTATCGTTATCTTATCAACAAAAGATTGTGTACACAAGTGGTAAATTCATAGCGTGTAATGGAAAGAACATTGCTAGTCAGTATCAATGTAGTGAAATTAATTGTGCCAAAAAAAATCTTGGGGCATTATGGAACGTAATGAGTTAACATTAAGTTTCCATAACCTTATTAAGAGAGGTGTGTGTAGAGTTTGTGCTTGTTAATAAGTGTTGAAAAATTAACCAGTTAGATACTTATGAATTACAAATGTATAATTTTATTTATATCTCCCGCTAGCAGTGTCAAAACAATCAATAAATTGATTTTAAATACAAATGCTACTTGGTAAACATTTAAAAAAATGGTAAAATGGTATAATTTATTGTATTTATAACTTATTTTGTAACTATGAATTTAAGATGGTTGAGTAACTAAGTTTTTATTTTGTATATTCTACTCTACAGTGGAACTCCATTATAGTGAAGTTTTAAAAGTGCAAGAAGTAATTTTTTTATACAGTAAAAATTTCAAACAAGCTATATCCTTTCCTCTGCATCTATCCTCATCCTCGGTGATTATAGATGCATAATATTATTATTAACATATTTGTTTAAATTCCTAAATAACCATAAATTTTAAAGGAATTACTTAATTTATTAGTGAAATTATATATTACTGCATATTAAAATGTCTAATCTTGCAGAAAAGCCTCTCCCATATATTTTATTATTTTTTGAACTGTTGACACCTAGGAGGTATATCTAATATACTCTCGCCTTTTAAATTTAGGCTTAGTTTTACCATCAGAAGCTACTGACAAAAGTTGGCACATTCCCAGTTGCACCTATTGTTTTCATATCATCATCATTATCATTACAGCCCTTAACAAGTCTGCTACTAAATGTAGGCATGTAGTTTATGCATCTGTTTCAGTCAAGGTTGTTGCCCCATCTAGTGAGGGGCTACCATACACTATGCTCACCAGTATAGAGTGAGCATTTTAGAGCCTTTCTTTCACATCGGTTGTAATTTCTTCAAGGTATATGGTGTGCCTAAATCTGTGTCTGTGGACCAGCGTACTGCCACTTTAAACTTTCTGATATATTGGGCTATGTTGGTTACTTTGGTTTTAGTGTGAGATCTACCTTGACCAAAACCTTGCAAAAATGCGTTGTTCAGAGACTATTATCTCATTAGTTATGAGAAATAAGCTACATCTAAAAGCATATAATGTTCGATATCCTATCATCACATTCCACATTCTAATTTGTTTTTATGTGTTATGAATACATTTAAAATCTACATTTAAAAAATGACTAAAATTATTGATTACATGCATCTGTTGCTAAAGGAAATGCTCTAATCATTTGCGGATTACACTAATGGATACATAATTCAAAAATCTATATTCTACACATTTTATTTAATTTCTTAAGTTCGCTTATCTTTTTTAATTGAAATAATTCCAAATATTCAGGCGTATTTTTATGCGATATATTGTAGCGAGAGCGCGTGGATTGTATAGGACTGAGCGCTCAAGGTTTTTTGCTAGGGGAAACGTCTTAACATTATGAACTTTATCACACAAAAAACCTTTGTTATATATATATATATATATATATATATATAATATATATATATATATATGTATATATATATATTTATATTTATATTAACTTTCTATTCTTATCAATTGGCAAAGAAAAGCTAATTCACTACTTTTACCTGTAGTAATCTTCTCCATTGCTATTCGCTTAGTGAAAAATTAATTGTTTTGTTTTAACTTTAAAGTATTAAATATTTTTATTAATTTAAAAATTTACTGCTCTCTCTCTACGTCTACGTCTGTGGGGAACATAATTATTTGTCATGCTTAAAAAGCAAATTTACAATTACAGTCCCAGATGTCTTGTACCTTTGGCTATATGCTCCCTGTTACTGGTCTGAGTATTTTAGATCTGACATAAACAAGATGGTATCATGCTGATGGTAATCACATGAAACAGTTACATTTTAATGGCTTATGGCTATATAAATTGTTCATTAAATGTATAATAAATTATTTCTAATTGTATGATAAAAATGACACTATAAATGATTATATCATGCAATTAAAAACAATATAAAATTTTGGTATTTTCTGTTTATTTGCTCTTTATTGTAGACATCTTAAACTAAGAATTACAGTAAGCAGACTTATGATGTTACAGAACACTAGTTGTATGTGACACTTAACAAAAGTAAAGTGATTTCATTCATTCATTCATTCGTTACAGAACCGACATAGCCCAACCGATCAGTAAGCTGAAGTTTTTTTTATAGGATAAGGGTGACAAATGAGCACACAGTCCACCTGATGGTAAGTGGATGCTAAGGCCCATAGATATCTATCTACATTTAACATCGATTAAGGATCAAAATGCAAATGCATTGTCACCCTTGAGGACTAAGACGGAATGCCTCGATTCCAGTAAAACGGGTCTCCGGTTCTCTACACTCACCATACGAAACACAGCAATATTAAGCTGCTATTTTACGCTAGTATTCTGTGAGAGTGTGGTCCATCCCTGTTCGAGCCGAGCCATTCATACTACAACCATAATATAGCTGCAGCGTGGCTTTTCCATGTATAAAAAGTGGCAATGGATTGGCCAAAAAGCTTTAAGAACCGACAACCAATGGGGGAGAAAGGTTTAAAGGAAAAGGCAGCCTCATACTCGTAGGCGAATTGTAGGCTGTCCCCCCACTGGATGGAGTGAAGATCTGGTAATATCTTCTAGAAGTAGATGGTTGCAGGTGGCTCAGGACCATGCTTTGTGGCATTTCTCGGGGGAGGCCTAGGTTCAGCGATGGACTTGTTAGAGATGAGCAAGTGAAAAAAATTCTATTGATATTATGTAAACATCGATATTATTAAACAGTATTGATATATATCATGTGATAAATATCGATATATCAACGGTTGGACGATGAAAAATAAAACGACTACAGTACATGAATGCTTTTGTAGCTACTTTTGTTGCTTGATGTTTTATCGATTAATACAACATTTTAAAATGTACCTTTTGAAATTGATATGAATTCGATACTGCAAAATAAATATTGAATGTTGATATATCGAAATTTAAAAATATCAGCGATATATATCTATCAAAGTCCATTGCTAAACATAAGCTCCCCCCTAGATTGCCACATAGGGGGATTTTTTGACATAGTGACGACTGAAATGGGTTGTGGGTATTCTTACGCCACCCCTTATGTGGATTTTGTATATAGTTGAGTTCTAGCTGTGTTAGAACATCCACTACCCTGAACCACCCGCCAATATTCGTATTTCAAATTTCGCGCCTTTTTGCTCTCGCTGGCTGACCTTTAGATCCTAAATGTAGTTACTGTTTATGATTTCTTTTTGCGTAGATAAGGTAATTCATTTTTAACTAGCCCGCTAACATAACTTTAAATTCCTTATTAATATCATAATCATATATCCAAATGAATTATCTTTTCTCACAGGCAGTAAAAATCTTTGAAATTCGTTTGAATGTGTATTAAATATTTTAGATGAAGAACTATATAGTTACACAAACTACGCGATGGCAACACCAACCCCTACGACCCCGGGCGACTGCCTACCGGGAATATTCCAGCAACTGGACTCATTGGCCACTTGCGTTGACTCAGACTTTGACGAGAGTCTTGCCGTCCCGGAGTCCCTGTCGGTGATCGATGTGGACAAAATTGTGAATAAAGAAGAGACAGATGCTAATAGTAAGTTTGATTTTTATTTAAAGTTCTTCATTTTTTTAACAATACCAGCGATCCGCCCCGGCTTCGCACCGGTAATTTCTGGATCTCGACAAAAGCGCCACCTATCGAGTTCAATTGAGTGTTTAAAATTGATATGAAATTGATGTAGCGGTGCCGCAAGCGAAATACACCGAAGCCTAAATCACGCTGTCAAAATCCCGAATCATAAACAGTATATATAGAACACACAGGAAAAAACAAAACCATCCAAGAACACACTCAAATACACACAATAAAAATCTAAATCATCTACATAGTTCGAGCCGTTGTCGAGTTTTAGCGATTCTAAAGGACAGCAATTGATTTTTATATTCATAAAGATAAGTTTGGTGACGAACATGCACACAGTCCACTTAATGGTAAGTGATAAGTGGATGCTGTGATTTCTTCGTATTACTTTCGACGCAAAACTTCAGTGGGGTCCCCATATAACTAATCTAGTAAACAAACAACATAAAACAAACAAAATAAAACTCTTAATAAAAAATTGATGTTATATTGTGTAAGCATTAAGGACAAACACAAGCCAGAAATACAAGTTTCTCGACTTCACAGAGTTTGAATGTGAATAATATACGCAAAGTCCCAGAAGTTATACAAGGTCTCTATATTACCAAGTTTAAATATTACATTAAACAAAAACTGTATAAAACTAATTATAATATATACAAATACATGGTTGTTACACCCCTAGGATTGAGGCTTCCACGTTTGTTAAATAAGTTTTTGTAAGTAGTTTGTTCAAACTATGTTATTATTGTATGATTTTCCTTTTCTTGTTGGTTCTTTCCAGAATAGGGTTTTATTTTCGAAGCAGTGGTAAAAGTATAAAAAGTACTTTAAAAAGAATTATTCTATTCTGTGGCCCATAGTCATCTACATAAAATCAAAATAATCACCCCTGAGGACTAAGATGAAATGCCTCGTTTCCAGTAAAAAGGGTCTCCGGTTCTCTACACTCACCATACGAAATACATACAGGAGCATTGAGGTGCTAATTTATGCTGGTATTATTTAAGAGCGTGGTCCTTCCATGGCCGACCAGACCCATTCGTACTGCAATCATAATATAGCTGCAGCGTAGCTCTACCATTAGGCCGTAACGCTTGCATAACATTCGTACATACTGATTATGTATATTGTATTCAACATAATTAAAAGGAAGATCGTTCTTCTTAAATGATAGATTTTTGAACCACAAAGACATAAGTATAAAAAAGAGGCCAAGGTCCATAGCAGTTCCATTAAATTCGTTCCAATCCATTTAAGAAAAAGTGATGGACTTTAGCACCCGTTCATTTTTCAACTCTTATCGGCGAAGGCAACTCTGAAAGTCGTTAGTACCGAACTTATCCCTCTTTTCAAATTAATGTATTTATTGGGATATAGTATTAATTTTCTGATTATCGATAAGTTGTAAATTTCAGATTTTTCCTTCTGTATAGACAAATACAAAAGTTTTTGCAGTTCAGCCACAAAATAAGGACGGCTTCTAATAAGATTAAAATGACACGGAATATAATTAATAGTGAAACTGGTAAGGTCAACTCTCGCAATTCAAACTACCAGTTAAGTTTTAACAATAAATTAACTAAATCTGATAAGGAAGTTGTAATAGTTTTTGAGAAATATTTTACTAATATTTCGATCTTAACTACTAAGTCACTGAATTCTTCTGCCGTCGCCGAATCATTACTTAAACAAAATGTAAATGCGTATACAAAGAACTTCACATTTCATAAAGTATCATCAAAAGATATTGTAAATATTTAAAGTTATCGATATTAAGAAAACAGCAGATTTGTGGGGGATTTCCGTTAAAGTGCATCTATAATGGATACAATCGCACCTCAGTTATCTATTATTTTTAATACTAGTATCGAATCTGGTGTGTTTCTTGATTTTATGAAGCATAGTAAAGAAATACCTCTAAATCTGGTAGTACATTGGACCCCTGCTAATTTTTGACCTATTTCTGTACTGCCAACACTTAGAAAAATTATTGAAAAAAATTAATCTTGATCAAATGTTAATTTTTTTAATGTAAATAATTTACTCCATAAAATCAATTCGGTTTCACAAGGGGTCACTCGACAACTGATGCTGGTGTTGAGCTAATTAAATATATCTTCAATGCATGTGAGAATTCACAAGATGCTTTGGGTATATTCTGTGACCTATCCAAAGCCTTCGATTGTGTTCACCATAAAAAATTGTCATAATAGTATGAGTGCCTCAGGGCTCTATTCTCGGCCCCTTTCTTTTTTTGTACATATTAATGACTTACCTTACATGGTAGGGGATAACCATGATATAGTATTATTTGCTGATGATACTTCATTAATTTTCAAATTAAAGCGACAGTTATTAAAATACGACGACGAAGTAAATAATGCTATAGTTTAGTCAATTGGTTTAATGTTAACAATTTGCATTTAAATGAAACTAAAACTAAATGTATGAAATTCGTAACTCTGAATGTCAAAAATGTTAATACTAATGTAATTTTAAATGGGGAGGAGCTGAGTCTTGTTGATACCACCATTTTTCTTGGGATCACACTAGATGCAAAGCTTTCCATGGCTCCCCCATATATCAAAACTAGCTAGCAGACTTAGTTCTGCAGCATATGCTGTAAAAAAGATTAGACTCTTACTAGTGTTGAAACAGCTGGAATAGTTTACTTTAGTAGCTATTTCCATAGCATTATGTCGTATGGTATTTTGCTGTAAGGACACGCAACTGACACTGACATTATATTTGTTTTACAGAAAAAAGCCATTAGAGCAATATATGATTTAAAACCAAAAGAGTCGCTCAGACAAAAATTTAGGGAAATTAATATATTAACTCTGGCCTCTCAATACATTTATGAAAATGTAATGTACGTACACAAAAATAAAAGTAGTTTTGCAAAAATAAGTGATATTCATTCTGTAAATACTAGGAACAGACACAAGCTATTAGTACCAGTTACTCGACTCTACCGAGCCAGTAATTCATTCTTGGGGCGATACGCTTTTACAACAAAACCCCAGAAAATATACATTTGACATACACAAAGTTCTAAAACTTTTTTAAACTAAGTTTGTATAAAAAGGGTTATAATAATATTAAGGAATTTATGGATGATAATAACCCCTGGGAAATGTGATCGCTACCAAGCTATTTCTAATTTGTTTTGTGTTGTTAATTGTAACGTACATGATTGTAAGCTATTATTTGAAGAAAAAATTGTCACGCTGGGTTTCTTGCTGGTTCTTCCCAGGACAGAGGTGTTTTTTGCGAACCAGTGGTAAATGAAAAAAGTGACTTTCAATGAGTATTGTTTACAATCTACATTGAATAAAAAAATTCTGTTTCTATACAGGTACATGACTGCCTCGTTGGTCTAGCGGTTGTAGTAGTGTGACTGCTAACCATGAGGTCCTGGGTTCGAATCCCGGGCCGGGCCAAAAATCAATTATTGAGTTTATCTGTCGAGAAATTCTCAGTAGCTGCCCAGAGTCAGGAAGTTGGCGGTGTCAGCACGTAAAGCCGTTGGTCCTGTGCCTGATCTCTCTCCGGTCGTGTCATTCATAAAATACGTTTTTTAGTTTAAATGTTCAAAATACAGATATAAGATTAAATAAGACAACAGACTTTGGCATATTATGTCAATAATAGTTCTCGGGACGGAAAATGGTGGCGCTTCAAATCTTCAAAGACATTTTTTTGTATAGCCAGTCTAGCATACTTGTATATATAGAGGTCAGTGAAATATGGACATTACAAACTGCTATTGTTAAGCTCTTTCTTTTCCGAATTTGGCAGACACACTACCGTGTGTCTAGATCATTACTAAAACACATATAATTATGTTTCGTCATCATTTTTTTTTCTTTTACAAATGCTGCTGAAAAAATTCTGATGAAAACCCTTAAATTACAATTGATGCGTATAACACTTTTTCTATCCAACATATCAAATTCCACTGTCCATAGATATCCTTATATTTTTTGGATATTTGCTGTAGTTGCCATGCTTGACAGACGGGTTGGCGACCGTAGCTTTTTATTATTATGAGTTATTATCACAAAAATGTAACAGAAGATCTATTACATTTGTCTCTGTCGCCTCGTACGACACCTACTAGGTTGATATGGAATAGAGGATTCTCTTGCCCCGCCTCTACACGGCACCATTCCATTTGTATATCTTGTCAAAGCTCAATGTTTATATACTCAGCACATTTAATCCTTGATTTAGATTCGCTGTAAAATAGCGTTGACAACTGAAATTTCTGAGAGGGTTTTAAAGCAAGGAAGTGTCCGCCGCGCTACCCTATTGCGTGTTGGCGAACTTCACATGTTTTGAAATATTTTTTGTTATTTCTCAGATACGCAGGTTTCCTCACGATGTTTTTTTCACCGCTGAGCACGTGGTAAATCAGCACTTATGATCGCAATTAACAATTTCGAGCCCGGGTTGCTTGCGTAGCCCTCTCAGAAATGAGAAGGAGGCCCGGCTATGGGACGTATATAGGCTGTAACTTTAATTTTTTTTAACTTTATTTGAATTTTAAGAGTATGTTGCCGAAATTCTCACATCGATTATTTTTAAACGTATTCTATGTAACAAAAAAAATAACGTTAATGTCAAATCCCTTTACCAAAAATAAAATATCGCTAAAATACTTAATTGGAGTAACGTTATGTTCTTCGGCTGTAATTCGATTTAACCACTTCTTAAACGATCTAACAGTCTCGAGACTAACAATCTAAAAAATGGTTAGCTGTTTAAGTTATAAAAACATAAATTATTGAATTCGCAATAAGTTCGCAATACGGAAATATTAAACTCTATACACACATATATAACACATATACTCTATACAGATGTCTCAGAAGTCGACGTCAAGCCGGAATCGGATGATAGATCAAGTCATAATAGTTAATAGAAAAATATAAAAATAAAGCTAT